TCAATTTTCTCGACCAATCAAATAAATTGATAAACTCATCGAGGTAGGCGCTTGAGAAGCCTTTGTCTACAATATAGTACTAAATTTTATATCGATCTTAATTTATTTCGCCAGTTGTAACAATGACCATATATTTATTGATAAGGGAGACGTGAAAATAAGTCATGTTAATTGCAAAAAGATTTTATATTCTTATGTTAAATAGATAATACGAATGAGATATTAATAGTGCAAATGATAAGACTTTGAAGATCTTAAGGTCCACAGCACGCACTTGGAAAATATATTTTACTTTATTAACCATGTTATAATATAAAAGATTTCTTTAACGTGTGTATGTCGGTGTATTCCCAAAGGTCATGAATATTTAAGGACGTTAAAGTAGTATTCTTGCAAAGAGCTTCTGCTAAAGCTTTTTTAACTTCAGAGTTAAGCTTATTATAAGAAATATTTAGGGATTTTAAAGTAGTGTTTATACGAAGAGTGTCTGCAAATGCTATTCCTCCTTCAAAACCAATACTATTATGACTAATGTCTAAAGAAGTTAAGGCCTTGTTTCTATGAAGCCTTTTTGCAAATGATTTTCCTCCTTCAAGACCAATATTATTTTTGCTAACATTTAAAGAAGTTAAAGAACCATTTTTCCCAAGAGCTATTGCTAATGCTTGACCACCCGGGGTACCAAGTCGATTATAAGAAATATTTAAAGAAGTTAAAGTAGAGTTTTTACAAAGAACTCTTGCCAATGTTAATCCTCCCTCATAACCAATATTGTTATCACCAATATTTAAAAAAGTTAGAGTTGTATTTTTGCAAAGTGCTTCTGCTAATGCTCTTGCACTTGTATTCCCAAGTTGATTGCTATAAACATCAAAAGAAGTTAAAGTATTATTTTTGTAAAGAACTTCTGCCAATACATACCCTATTCTAAAACCAAGTTGATTGTAAGAAATATTTAAAGAAGTTAAAGTGGTGTTTTTACAAAGGGCTTTTGCGAATGCTTTTCCTCCTTCAAAGCCAATCTTATTTTTACTAACATCTAAAGAAATTAAACCAGTATGTTTATAAAGAACTTTTACTAAAATTTTTGCATCCTCAGAATTAAGATTGTTCGAATTAATACATAGAGATTTAATTGTAGTGTTTATGCATAGAGCTTCTACTAGTGTCATCACTACATTAGAATCAAGCTGGTTATGAGAAAGGGTTAAATAAGCCAAGATAGTGTTCTTTTTAATAATTTCTATTAATAATTTCATTTGTTTGTAATCGAAATGAATGTGTGAAAAACTTAAATTAATAATAGAATTGTTCATATAAAGACTCTCAAATATTGGTTTTGTAGTAATAATATTGTCAAGTGTTAAACATTTAAGGTTATTACTTATCCGTAGAAACATTGTAGCCAAAGAATATTTAGTGACCTTTTTTATAGGTTCGATATTAACATGATGAACATTAAAAGAGGTAGCAAATCCTTCATGACGAAGCCACATTTCAACTCCATCGGACAAATAAATGCCAACAAATTTTGTATAACTTGCATACTCGAATAATGGTCTTGGACAATTTGGAAGAATAATTTTAAAAGGTGTCAATAAAGATCTTTCTTTATCATTTAATAATAAAAGATATATTCTTATAAGCCTTATGTCATTAAAATACTTGGTTGGTTCGCTCCATAATATTGGTACAATAATTCTACACCATTGGCGATTTACAAGAAGGAATGAAAATAAACTACTAAAATCATCCCAAAAGTAATTAAATATTTCCATAAGACATTCGTTCGGTAACTTTAACATTTTAAAAGTTTATCGGTTAAAGTTATTATAAAGCGACAACAATGGATTTCTTTATTAATATTACCATTGCGAAAATGTTGTGAAACATTATAACCTGCTTTTACTATAATTAGGTTTATTAGGATTCGCCCGTTTCACATTTTTTGAAATTGTTGTCGAATATAATAGTTAACCCCACTCCCTAAACAATTACGTAATAAATGCCAGTACTAATGATGCAGTAGAAACTTGTACGGCTTATGCCGTAACTAATTACGGCATAAGCTTTAACCAGTTGCAGAATAAGCCGTAACATCATTAGTCAGTAACCTAATGAATTTCTCGTAAATTAGATAATAGTGTGACTACGTCGCATTAAAGGAACGGGATATATGGATGAATTTAATCAGTAGAGATATTTTTTGAATAATGAATGTTAATATTAATTAAATTATTATAAATTCGAGAATGAAATATTTTAATAGTTTTTCTAAATTTTTTTGTGCTAATCAAATTATCATTAACGAATACAACCCGCTCTTGTAAAGTTGCTTTTTTATAATCTAAATGTATGAATTGCAATGAAAATTTACCTAGTATAATATATTAAATAATTTATTTTACATTTATTTAATTTATTAATCCTATTTACCAGATTGCAAATAATTAATTTTTAAGAACTGAATTAAATAATATTAATAATTTATAACTAGATACCAATAATGTTATATATAAATGTTGTATCTGAAGTAGCAACTTCAGATATCTATCTAAAGCTGCTACTTTAAATATTTGAGATAGCAACATTGTAATCTCAATACCTAAAGTAGCAACTTTATAATTTCAAATATTCTGAAGTAGCAACATTAGACATCTAAAGTAGTTACTTTAGATAAGTATTATTACAGATAGGCGCTACTTCGACACAATAAATATATATATTAGTTTTTTAGAATGCACTAACAAGATTATAAAAATTTATTTTATCATGCTGTATTATATTTTCAAGTTCTTGGAATTATTAAATAATAACCAGTTACATGAAATATCTTTAATTTTACAAATAACATTATTTCAGGAGATTCTTTGTCGCATGTAATTTTTTTTTTAGCATAATATCCAAGGTCTACAATTGATTGATTAATCAAGCGGTAAAAATTTTTTATTTCACAGATTTTGAATAAACCATCTTACTAACACTCTGTTTATTTTCGGGTCCTACAAATTAATATGTTTTGAAGATTGTCTCAACATTTAAATTAATTTCGCTCAAAGTTCGAAAAAAACATATGTAAAATTAATTTTCAATAGGAATAAAACCTATTACCAGCAAACCAATATAATTTTTTTTTAGCCAATTACAGAATTGTACTTGATAAATATTTTTTATTAGAGTAAAATGTTAGCATATCTAAAGGTATGTGTCGTGCGAGATAAATCTGTGCATTTCGAACGTCTTGCGAAATTAGATTTGGTGACCTTTACGATAGATTTCTTTTTTTTTTTTTTACCTAATTTCTAATAAAATTTCAACTTTTATTCTTTAAATGTATATTTATTGTGATTATTAATAGCGCAGCGTAAAAGGGCATAGTTGATGATATTTATTAAAAATTTTTTACAATTTTACGATAAACATAAATTTGTGCGATAGTTTCGCCACCTGTGTGACTGCGTAAGATAAATTTAAACAAAACCCATCTTTGAAGATTTCTGATAATATTCAAATGCTTTCTCATCGTTTTTCTCAACTCCAATTCCATTTTGGTAGCAATAATAAACATTTGTTGTCCCATCAGGATTACCCATATCGGCAGACTTTTTATGATATTCGAATGCTTTGCATCCATCTTTTTCAGTTCCCATTCCAAATTCATAACAATAACCAACCATATTCATTCCAAGTACATTACCCATATCAGCAGATTTTTTATAAAATTCGAACGCTTTATATTCATCTTTCTCGACTCCAATTCCATTTTGATAATAAGCACCAACATTAAATGTTCCAAAGGCATCACCCAAGTCTTCCGATTCTTTATAATATACGAATGCCTTACGTTCATCCTTATCGACTCCAATTCCAAGTTCATAACAACTACCAACTTTATTTATTCCATGTATATTACCCATATTAGCCGATTTTTTATAATAAACGAATGCCTCATATTCGTTCTTTTCTACTCCAATTCCATTTTGATAATAAACACCAATAGTAAATATTCCATGAGCATCGCTCATATTTGCCGATTTTTTATAATATTCGAATGCTTTGCGTTCATCCTTTTCTACTCCAATACCAAATTGATAAAAATCACCAACTTTATTTATTCCCAATATATCACCTGTATCAGCAGATTTCTCATAATATTCAAATGCCTTAGATTCGTCCTTTTCAACTCCGATTCCATGTTGATAACAATGACCAACATTGTTCATTCCACTAACGTTCTCCATATTCGCTGATTGTATATAATATTCGAATGCCTTACGTTCATCCTTTTTAATTCCAATTCCGTTTTCATAACAAAATCCAAGTTTATTTAGTGCATTAGCATCTCCTATCTCAGATTTTTTATAATAAGTGAATGCTTTGTATTCATCTTTTTCTATTCCAATTCCATTTAGATAATAATGACCAACCTTATTTATTCCAAATACATCACCTGCATCAGCAGATTTTTTATAATATTCGAAAGCTTTAAATTCATCCTTTTCGACACTAATTTCAAATTCATAACAATGCCCAATTTTATTTAATCCCAGAACGTCACCTATATCAGCAGATTTTTTATAATATTCGAACGCTTTATTTTCATCTTTTTCAATTCCAATTCCAAATTCATAACAATGACCAACCTTATTAATTCCATTAACGTAACCCATATCTGCAGACTTTAGATAATATTCGAACGCTTTAAGTTCGTTCTTTTCGGTTCCAATCCCATTTTGATAAAAATTCCCTCGTTCGTAGAATTCACCAGCATCCATTTTGTAAAATTGTTAAACTCAAAATACGTAATTATTTGGTATTAATACAGTAATAGTTACAGTAAGTATTTATGAGGTGTTTTAAAGGGGGCAGCCACTGCAGTATTTTACACATGTCATTCATTGTATGAGATGCCAAAACGGGAGATACGACGTATTGAGCGATTCAATTGATTACTAATCAATTTGTAAATTAAATTCACGTGATAGAATATTACAAATCGAATGGCGTGGGAAAATAGAGCTGTTATCCGGGTCAAACTTGGCTCGAATATTTTTGACCATGACCCGGTTAATGGTTACATAGTTAATATTAAGCGAAAATTTTATAATGTATGCCGTGGTATAGCGATAGCGATAAAGCTTGAGATATGAATACAGATTTTCTTGCTTACTGTAATTAGTTCTTTCATTTTCTCATCAAGCATTTTTTGATTGGTAATGATCGATTACGTAATGACAAGTAAATGACTTTCAGATAAGTTAGATTTTATATTAGATTAAGTTGCTGTTACTATAGGTGAACAAGTTAAAGGTTCCATAGTTGTTATATCATTGCTAAATCAAATTTTTATCAGATATCCCAAATTATGAAAACAGCTGTAAAAGAAATATTCGTTTAGATTGCCAGTTTTTTTCGACCATTTGTTACAGGGCATTTTCCAAAATTCCGGATCATAGTTTATTGGAGCTGAGTCGTATTAAACAATATTAACTAATCGCGTCGTGGTATATGAATGTGCCGCATCGTTTATGTTATTATTTTGTGTATAACTTTATATGCCGTAACTCGCGTATATGCTATACTTTTTATTTTTTATTTGTTATAAATTTTTTATGGCATAATTTTTATATACCTAAAACATACGATAAATAATTAATTTATTACTTTAATTATTCCGGTTTATTTAATAGTCAAGCTATAAATTTGTCGGATTTATAATTATTATTTTGTTGAGCCATGTTGTTTAATGTCTTCAATAAATGAATTATTGATGCCAATAAAGTCGGATTTGAAAGATTGAAAATTTCTTCAATTAATAAATTATCATTATTTATTTATCGAATTATTAGAATTAGATAATGAAGAGTGTGTCTCTTGGTTAATTTATTTCGATTTGTAATATTCTTAATTATATCCAAAAATTTTGCTAAGAAACTTATATAAAGGAAGGTAAGGTATTATGACACACTTAAGATTTGCATATATAAAAATTTCAAGAAAAAGTATATTTATTCTTGATATCGAATTAACTATATCAATATATCTAATAATAATAACAATAATATATCGAATTTATAAAAAAAAATTTGGAATATGAACTTTCAAAATCTACTCAAAAATGCTATGTTTTTTACTATATATTTCTATTGTATTACTACTTCTTCCTCCGGACATTACCCAAATGAGGAAATATAAAATAAAAATTAAAAGAAACTTAATATTTACATACAGTAAGTAATATCGACTTTTACTTTGTAGTTTAGCAATTAGAAAAAAATTTTTTTTATATTATTTGATTCGTCTCAGTATGACTGGTTCTGATCAGTGTATCGCAGTATATCATAAAAAAACACAAGTGCGTCAAATTAACCACCTGCATCAAACACACTATTTCCCTTAACGATTAAATTTTATAATACTTTTTACGACAGGATATAACAATGCCTATTTACATACAGTCTAAATGAAAGTTACGCTATTAATTAAAGGTATATCATTGATTAGCACATGCGCAAGGTTTGTGGCACAGATTTGCTATTAACAAACCTATTTAAGATTATTTATGTTAGGGTTAACGTTAAAGTTAGAAATAAATTTTAGCAGGTTAATAGTAAATCACTCAAGGAAAACTTCTTGTTAAAACACCAATGGTGGTTTCCTATGCAGATTTTTGAGAAAATAGCGACTTCTGACAAAACGAGTCTTTTTAATTTTCCTGATCGTGTTACATTACACTTGATCTTGAAATCTGATTTATAGTTCAGGACATCTTCGCCACAGAATCTGCATAACAGATTACAGGAATATAGATGCAGACTTATGGCATCACTTAGTTATTCTTCTATATAAAAAGTCGGTCGGTATATAAACAAAGCGCAATTGAGCTATGCTAGTGCCGTAAATATGACTGCATCCATAGCACAGAATCCATACATACTATTGATGAACTTTGCGCAACTAATTATCATCATGGTACAATGGGACCCATATGGATTTTGTTGTAACTGTAACCATGATTTGTAGTATCTCAAAAAATTTATCTGGACGATTCTACTATATCAGTAGTTAATTTGAATTCATTTTTTAATTTCTGTGATAGTTTGGACTATTCTACTGCAAAAGGGTCCAAAGTATTACACTGCGTGAGCTTAATTTAATGGCCTAATGAAAAGATTATCTCAAAATTTTCTCAAGATCAAAAAAATTATCAATAAAGGATAGTGATAATCTTTTCTAAATTTGCAACATCATTTGGAGATTCATACCTTTTAAATTCGGCAAAAACTTTTACACATTGTATTATGATAACTTAACTAATGATAAAGTCGTATTGCTTAATAATTATTATCTTCCTGTTGACAATTTTGCCAATAGGATATACAATCGATATATCATCAGCTATAGAATCTTCAAACTTCATCCATGCAGAACCATTTATTCAAGATAACCTTACCAACACATAGACCCGTGTTTTGGATATTAAACATTATCAAGATGGTACAGCAGTTCTTCGCATTAGTCGGGATAATTACTATATTGGCAGCACTGCTAGATGTCTCGAGCAGAAGTTAATGCTTCGCATTATTCAAACAAATGGAAGTGTTATTCCATTAGAATTGGATTACATTGACGAAATACAAGATATCAATTATTGTTATGTTAATGCTAAAAGTCCTATAAGTATATACCCATTATTTGACCAATACATTCTAGTGACATACATTCATGCAACTAATACCTCTGATAATGCAACTTTCATGGATCGAGGAATAGTTGTAGATTGGTTTGGGAAGAATTTTTGGTATGTCAAAAATAGTCAAACATTTAAATATTAAATAATAACAATTTATTGCATTTGCATGATAGTCAACTCGATTTTGGACCATCTTACTTATTTCCGGACACCAATATTTGGAGTCCAAATGATTATATAACTGTTAACATAGAACCTCGGAAGGGATTTTTGCGTTTATCCACGGTACGAGGAACAAACAATTTTGAATGGGTGCAATATAACTAGTACGCTGCATTCTTTCATTTGTTAGTTACTTACATGTTGCACGATTCCAAATATTTTTTTCTTTTTTTTAGTACAGGCGGCGGGTATTTCAGCTTATCACAAAGCAATACAGTTGAAAATTTAAACTTTGCAAACTTACAAGTTTCTGTACTTCCAACATTGAGTTATGGATATGTAATTATCTACACTAATACTACGCATAGAACATTATTGGAAAATGGAGGATTATATGCCATATTCCTGAATTATAGTCAAAAAAGAACGAGTCAGCCATTTGTTTTGCATGAAAAGTCTACTCAAAATATAATATTCACCAAGTTAACATGCTCCATTGACTATATTAATGTTAGTTATGTATGCGTCCTAACCATAGAACAAAAAGACCTAGTTCCTGTTAACGGAACTAATAATACTAGCACAATCACAAACACATCTTACATCAAAATGAGTTTTTTTTCCACAGGACCTTGGCTTAAATCGGATTTAATATTCAATTTAACCTTAACGTCTTTTAGAACATTGCCTGTTGGAGGATACGTATTAATATCACGAAACACAGTTTTTAGTTCAGCTGTGAATTTCACGATTCATCTTTACGATGAATATGATAAACCATCTACTTGGGAATTTTTGCAGCAGCCTATTATCTCTAACCTTGTTAGCTCATATGATATATTGCCAAATAATACGATGTTAGTGGCGCAAAATGAAACAACCACTGATTGGAAACTTCTCAATATCAATTTGCCTCATCTTGGACCGTTTAACGGTAAGTATTTGAACTTGAATAATACATTCGAAAGCTTTTAAACAATGATTATGCTTATACGTATCTTATAGATAGCGGTTATGGTAATTTGCATGTGAATTTGACACATCCCTCAATAAATTCTAGTGATCTAGCATTGAATTCTGACGTGATTTACATTATATATCAAGAACCCGTCTCTCTTTCAGATGGCAATTTAACCATTATCAGACTGACCGAAATAATGTTCGACAAATAATTAATTTAAAAACTTGTCAATGTAATATCACAGGCACCATTGTTAAAATCAATATTTTTTCTAGTACATTCAATTATCCGGGTGGGAGATATTGTATACAAATTGACAATAATTTTGTAAAAAATGCCAATTTTGGTGAACCTATGCTAGGAATTCAACAAAATATATGGACTTTTGAAACAGGTTTATATCATAATACAATCTTTAATAGTTAAGATTCCTATTATTTGCAATCATTACTGAATTATGTTAATAGCTAATAATGAAAGTTCAGAACAAAATCAGGAGAGTAATGGTAAGGTAATTTAAGCTATTCATAATTTATTGATAAATAACATAATCTTCCACATTTTGATTAAACTAGAAGATATTTCGGGAATACTACGATTAACAACAGAAGGAACTCAGCATTTTCAAAGATTGAATTACTCAGAAAACCATTTTTTTTTTTTTATAATTTAATGGGTGATCTCACAGACATTATTCCTACAGAAGTAGGAAGGTTGGGTCCAATCGAACGTAATCAATTTGATCCAACAGATTTGACGAAAATTCTTATCTCATTTTCTATTATTGGTACAAACAGAAGTGCCAAAATGACTGCTAATGAGATAGCGAAAGATTTAGACCAATTAATTAAGAATAAGGCATATACAGCAATATCAATAGGTCTTACTACAAAATATTTAGATGAAACTTATGGACTTGGTTTACATAGTAATGACTAGTTTATGTTTTATTATTATTATTATTTTATTATTATTATTATTTTATTATTATTATTATTTTATTATTATTATTATTTTATTATTTTATTATTATTATTATTTTATTATTATTATTATTTTATTATTATTATTATTACAGTTTAAAATTATTTTATATTCTCTTTATAGTGTCATTATCGGAGTTCATTGAATTTCATAAGACATGGTTCACAATTCCCATTGCAGTCATAGTTATATTATTACTAATATACTCAGTAGCAAGGTTAAAATCATCAGAGGTAATAACTTTATTGATTAAATAATTCCTTTTTTTTTCTTGTCTAATGCATGAATATATACAGAGTGAAAATTTCGCAATTCTTCAACTTGATTTTAACCTATTTCGTTTTGTCTCCTTCACAATATTTGTTGTTTTGTATTCTCCGTCGATTCCAATTCTTTTTATACCCAGGCATGCTAGTGTATCATTCAAATTAATATTAAATAACTATA